GTGCTTAGGGACATGGTTTAGTGGTGGACTTGGCAGCGCTAGGTTAATGGTTGGACTTGATGATCTTAAGGGTCTTTTCCAACCTAAACAATTCTATGATTCTATGAATACCATCACCCATTTCCCCAGGTGACAAGTGCCAGCGTGGGAGAGCTGCTCTGGGTGATGGGTGACGGGTGACGGTGACGGGTGATGGGTGCAGGCGGACACGGAGCCTCACGGGCAGCACCACGCGTGCAGGCACAGAGCTGGCAGCGGCTCAGCTTTCCTACGGCCGCAGCTCATCCTCTGCCCACGTGCTGACCACCCGCATCACCCCTGTACACACGTCCGCCCTGGGGGCGACGTGTCCCACTGCGGGTGGGCAGTGCCCTGGAACAGGAGAGAGAAAAGAAAATGTAGAGGAGCCGCTTTCCCACCCCACCTTCCTCTCCAGAGCAGGATTCCAGCATCTGGGAAAGGAGAGGAATAAACGGAAAACAGCTTGCAGGCAAAAAGGAGATGTGACCTTGCCAAGATCTGCTTGGGCTTTTGAGCCGCTCTGCGACAGGGGGAAGGAAAAGGATTTCTGTTTGCTTCCAGTGTTTTTCCCCTTTGTTCTCTGTCTTCAGATTCTGACTTACAGCTTGTTTTTGTTGGACCCTGGCAGAAGAACGGAGCCCATGGGTTTGTTTTTGTTTTATTCAGAAATAGCGATGGCCATCAGCTCCTACGCATTAGGTTTCCCTTTTTAAGGGAAAAAGTCAAAGGGTAAGAGTTACGTTCATACGAGTCCTCGAGGTACGGCTGACGTCCAGGTACCTTGGACGAGGTGGTGGGTTGGGAAGGGGCAGCCGTGCCCACCCGCGCTGCCACCGTCCCCTGCGGCCGTGCCCCTGCCTCTGCTGGCGTGCCAGTGCCGCTCTCCAAGCGGCTCGGCCAAAAACCTCGCAAAAAGCCCTGGTTTTAGCCCAGACCATTTTAGTGGCTCTGTTGGAGCCCAGGCCCACACACCATCACACCGTCACCCCGTGACATCATCACACCGTCGCACCATCACACCGTCACACCATCACATCGTCACACCATCACATCATCACACCTGCAGGACAGAGCCAGGCGTGGAAGCCCAAGCTGGGAGATGCAAACCCGCAACGAACTGCCCCCCCCCTGCAACGAACCCTGCGCTGCAGGGTGGGAGCTGGGCAGGGGGGAGCCGCAGCAGCACCCGGGAGCAGGGGGCCGGGGACCGAGCACGTGGGGGAAGACTCCTACAGACGAATTTAGACCCAGGACTTGATCCCTCCAGACTGAGCTTCCAAGGATTTCTCCTCCTGGGGTGGTCTGACTTGGTTCAGCCTTAAAAATTTGGGGCGGTAAGGACTTTTTTACTCTCCTTCCAAACGCTGGAGGGTTTGAAATACCCTTATGATCACCCTTAATTAAGAGCGTGGCTCTAACCCTAATCATTGCCATAGGTAATATCTAAAGCCCTTAAAATTCCCAGCTTCTTGTCTCTTATGGCTTTTGCAGCTCAGATTTATTTTTTTTAAATAAATAACGCCACCTCCTGTTTTTGCTGTTGTAATTTCACAGGCTTTCTTGGGGAAGGAACTGCAGCTGCGTCTCCTCCTGCCGCTGGCAGCGAGCGGCCCTAAGGGATGCTGTGCCGTGGGAGAGCTCTCGCCATCCGCCACCGCGTCCCAGTTTCTGTCAGGGGGAAAACACAAGCCCGGCCACCGCGTCCCTGATGGAGCTGGACCTGAGCTGCCCAGTTCAGGGCCCGATCCTGCTCTGTCCCCAAAGGCAGTGCTTCCGTGAGTTTTCTCGCTGTCTTGCGGGGCTCCCCTGTCCCGGCACTCGGAGCGCTCCGTGGGTGTTGCTGCCCAGACTCTGTCCCAATGAAGTGTAACGAGGTTTGGCTTGCGTTACCTTAATTGCTATTTTTGTGTAAACTGATGGGGAGGAAAGAAACATGAAATCGGTGCTATTCAGCCTCCAGGGGCAAACCCAGGATTTTCTACAAAACCTGGCCTCAGGCTGGGCTCCAGCAGCCGCTGCGGCACGGGAGCGACCTCAGGACCGTGATGCTGGACTGGCCAGGCCCAGCGTCACCAGTCCCAGGGCCATGTACCTCCACCGTCCCGGCCCCAAATGGGGGGCAGAGGCGAACAGGGTTCGCCCAGCGCCCGGCCAAGGCCAGGGGCTGCGGCAGCCTGAGCGCAGCCGGCACTGTCGGGTGCCGGGTCTCGCGGTGCCGCTGCCCTGCGGCACGTCCCTGCCCCTCAGTGCTGGCTCCGGCACAACCGGGGCAATGGGTGCCTGAGCTGGGGTGATGGGTGCCCATGTTGGGGTGCCTGTGCTAGTGTTAGGGTGACTGTGCTGCAGTACCCATATTGAGGTGCCTCATGTTGGGGTGCCCACGACGGGATGCTCACGATGGGATGCCTGTGATGGTGTGCCTGTGTTCGGGTGACTTTGCTGGGGTGCCTCATGTTGGGGTGTCCTTGACGGGGTGCCCGTGTTGGAGTGACCATACTGGGGTGCCTGCGTCAGGGTGCCCTGTCCCCAGGTGACCATGCTGGGGTGCCAGTGTTGGAGCACTTGTGCCAGGGTGCCCATATTGGGGTGCCCCATGTTGCGGTCCCCATGCAGAGGTGCCCATCACAGGATGCCTGTGGTGGAGCGCCCATTTTGGGGTGCCCATGCTGTGATGCCCCATGCCTGGGTGCCCATATTGGGGTGCCCTGCCTTGGGGTGCCCATGTTGAGGTGCCCTTGCCGGGATGCCTGTGCCGGGGTGCCCATATTGGGGTGCCCATATCAAGGTGCCCTGTGCTGGCGTGCCTATATTGGGGTGTCCGTGTCAAGGTGCCCTGTGCCAGGGTGCTCATGGTGGAGTGGCCGTTTTTGGGTGCCCATGCTATGGTGCCCCATGCCCGGGTGCCCATATTGGGGTGCCCGTGCTGAGGGTGCCCTGTGCCAGGGTGCTGGTGGTGGGGTGCCCATTTTTGGGTGCCCATACTGGGGTGCCCCATGCCCGGGTGCCCATATTGGGGTGCCCGCGTTGGGGGTGCCCTTGCCGGGATGCCCGTGCCGGGGTGCCCATATTGGGGTGCCCGTGTCAAGGTGCCCTGTGCCGGGGTGCCCGTGGTGGGCTGCCTGTTTTGGGGTGCCCATGCTGGGGTGCCCCGTGCCCGGGTGCCCTGTCTTGGGATGCCCGTGTCGGGGTGCCCGTGTTGCCCCGGCACAGCCCCCACCCGCCCTGCCCGCCCCTGC